GACCAGCTTGGGCTGAGTGCCAGGCAAGAACACGGGGTGGAGAGGATTGGCTGAGTGCCAGCCTTGTTTTTTGGCTGAGTGCCGGGCTCTCTTCTTCCCGCTGGACTTGCTCTAAGGAGAAAAACTGATAGGCAAGGAAGCTTTGCCCTTTGCTCTTTGCCTTAGAGCAAGTCCACCCCTAAAAAATGCGTCAGCACTCAGCCTATTTAATCCACCCAGTGAAAAATGATAGACCCTAATGAACAGTAATAAGCCAAATGCATCTCCATCCCTAACAAAAAATAGCCTAGTCAATTTTATTAAAATATTATTATTTTTATTATAAAATAATTTTATTTTTAATTTCTGACTTTATAAAAATATATTATTAATTTTTGATATTTTTATTTAGGGAGATTATATTCACACACCCTAAATTACTTCTCCCACATCCTTTTATTTTTTTAATATTTTTTTTATCAAGGGTTAGTGGTGTGTACAAAAAATTAAAAAATTAAAAAGGTGTGGAAGAAGTAATTTGGGGTGTGTGAATATAATCTCTCTTTTATTTATTTTTGGGTAAATTGCCAAAATGGTTCCTGAGATTTGCATAACTCATCACTTTGGTCCCTGAGATTCCAAATCGATAAAAGTGGTCCCTGAGATTGTCTACCATCCATCATTTTGGTCATTCCGTAAAAAACTCTGTTAAGTGTCCCGGAGCTCTTGGCTGGAAGTTTGGGCAATTTTCAAAACTTCGTAACTCAATCGTTTCTTAACCAAATTCGACCCATAATATATCAAAATGAAGATAGAAAAGTGTAGAATAAGATTATACCTATTTCGAAACCCAATGGTTGCCAGAGATTTCCAGAAAATAGTCTCAAAGTTGACTGGTCCGAGTGAAAACTTGAAAACTCGCCGAAAACTGGGTAAACTTTAAACATTCATAACGTCTTCAATACTCAACGAAATCAAGTGATTCAAAAATGAAAATCATACTTCTAAACGAGAAAAAGAGAATAGTACTTTTTAGATGGCTAACTCATCGTGGTTTGGCCGGAAAACAGCTCGAAAGTAGCTAACTTGATACCAAGACAGCCACTTTCGAGCCGCTTTCTGGCCAAACTACGGTGATTTAGCCATAAAAAAAAGGTACCATTCTCTTCCTCTCGTCAAGAAGTATGATTTTCATTTTTGAATCACTTGATTTCGTTAAGTATTGAAGAAGTTATGAATGTTTAAAGTTTACCCAGTTTCCAGCGAGTTTTCAAGTTTTCACTCGGATCAGTCAACATTGAGGCTATTTTCTGGAAATCTATGGCAACCATTGGGCTTTGAAATAGGTATAGTCTTATTCTACACTTTCCGATATTCATTTTGATATATTATGGGTCGAATTTGGTTAAGAAACGATTGAGTTACGAAGCTTTGAAAATTGCCCAAACTTCCGGCCAAGAGCTCCGAGACACTTAACGGAGTTTTTAATGGAATGACCAAAATGATGGATGGTGGTCAATCTCAGGGACCAAAGTGATGAGTTATGTAAATCTCAGGGACCATTTTGGCGATTTACCCTTTATTTTTTATTAAATTTTTTGGCGGAAAAATCTGGACCATTGATCTGAAAATCGAACGGTCCTCATTGTGCCACGTTAGTAGCCATTAATTTTAGATTTCAAATTTTTTTTACCGTTGGAAATCCAACGGCCCAGAACTAGCCATGTGGCCTCTTCGTCTGAATCGTAAATGCACCTGCGCATGTGGGCCCCACATTATTTTTTCTGTCGAGGACGCGCCCCCACTCGAGAGTGTATCACACGTGCCTGATGCAAAAAAAAAATAGTGGGCTTTGACATCAGGCTTGTGTTAGCCTGATGTGAGATGGCCCGGCTGTTGGGTTTGTCGATTCTAGGCCTATCTCTTGCCTGCCTTGGGATGGGTGCCAACCTATTAGGCTGGGGTGAAGTGATTTGGTTAGGGGCCGGCCTGTTTTGGGTGCTGGGTATCGGGCAATTCACTTTCGATGGACTTGCTCCTAAGTCATTAGCCTTTGCTATACGTATCAGTTTTTGCCAGTTCTTTTACCCTCAATTTGTACCAAAAACTTATCTTTTTCTTGGACATTTTGGAGGCCAATCAAACCATCTGTCTCTCTGGAAAATGGATTTAAGATTTGGTCCGTTATTGACACTTTCAAATTGATCCCTCTGATCTGATGAACATGTCTGAGTTGCTGATGGTGAGGATGACGACTTCAACTTATATATTGGAGATGGGAGGGATCCAATTCAAAGCTGATGTGCTCATTTTTCATCTGCTAACCCTGTGACAAGTCTAGTTGTTTGACATCTCTGTTCGATTATCCTGAAAGGGTAGTGCTATCCACACACTAATTTTCACTTCTCACACACCTTTCTCAAATTTTTAGCAGTCAGATTGCATGAATTTATGAAGATAAATGACATGAAATTAACAAAGATGTGTAAAAGATAAAAATAGGTGTGTGAATAGCACTATCCATCCTAAAAAGCAATAACGACCCGTCTACTAGCTTCATTACGTAGCTTCAATTCCCATTGCCCATTGCACTGTAAAATATTGTTGCTTCTTTGTGATTATGAAATCCTCAATAGTTTCAAACAAGCAAGCAATGAACCGTGAAATTTTAGTAAACAAGACGAGTAAAATATTAGTAGAAGATGAGAGATTCTACCATGAAACCGTTGTTACCAACTGTTTTCTCCCTCTCGCTTATCACATTTCTAGCTACATAGTAGACCTAATTCTAGCTACATAGTAGACCTAACGTTGTTAATTGTAATGCATTTTCATCATCTCACTCATGCCATGACTGAAAAGATATATCCCTGACTACACAGTGCACCTGAAATTTTAACCTAGAGGAGATGTATATTGAGGCCAATGGGAGCATGCATGCCTTATTAATTTGATACCCAATATATATATATATATATAGCTTCATTTTCATACTAAACAAAGTTAGGTTTACACACTTTTCCTACAAAGTAATACATAAGATCTTCTATGTCACGATCAAAAGAAATATTTTCATATATACGTGACTCATGGATTGCTGACACAAGAGCATCTCATTGTATGAGTCCCAATGTCAGTGTTTACTAAGGCAGGTCCTTATGAAGGAGATGAAATGGTAAAAATTTACAAGTCAAACACATTGGTTTTGCTTCTGATGCATTGAGAAGCAATTCTCATGCTTTGTTTCTTAAAATTAATTTGCATGTTCTTTCTTAATTAATTAGATTTTGAATGATAATATATAAACTACCAAGGCTAGTATATCAAATGTTAGATAATGATTGTACGGAAAACATGTAAGTATTGTAGTTATTCTTGTAATTTTGATATTAATGTGGCATTATTTATACGATTAATTACAAGAAATCCGTTGTTTTCTATAAAGAAAACCTTACAACGAATGAAAACAAAAGCAGAATTTCGTGTTGTATCTTGTCTCTTAAAGTGATTTGATATTCACCAAATTGAGATGAAGTCTGTGGAATTGGATCCTCTCCGATGCAATGCCTCGGGATCATACTGATCGAAAATCCAACGGCTACAATTATTATAACTTTAGAGGGACCTTCCTATTTGTAACCGTTAGATCAAAATCCAACGGCTTTTGATGTCTGATCAGTAGGATCTCGAGGCATTGCCTCGGAGAGGATCCAATTCCGAAGTCTGTTTCACAAACCTGCAAGTTTACAGTGCGTTTAATTATATTTTCATCTATAACTAATCACTTTAATATTCTATTTTTGTCACAAATCATGCCATAAAAGTCGAATCTTCTTGCTATAACTTGCTTTTAGGGTTTAAGAAAAGAGAGGGAGAAGGAGAGTGGGCCCATTCCAACTTGTGATGCAATCCCTTAACTCATCTCGAAAACCATATGGCAGACACCATAGTCACCACCACCATCAACGGTGCACCTTTCACAATTCCAAGATCTCACGTTGATGGGTGGGTCCCCCATTCCACAACCTACGTTACGTCAGCACTAGCGTCGGACGAACACGTGGATCCCCACTATTCGCCGGGGTCTTGCAGGAGCCATAATAGCGTGGGCCCTGGCCATCAATCTCAACAAAGCCCACAATCTCCGTGCCTGAAGGAAAGTAAAAGACGACGCCACGTGTCTGCACGGGAACGTCACGATGACGAGAAAAGTGTGGTCTGGCTCCCATGATTATGTCATGGGGTAAATGGGTCCCATCCCACCACCCTCTCTCGGAAGCGGATTGTCTGCTGGATGTTCTTTCAATCCCCCTATTTTGTGCAGTCACGGTTAAGTTACGTTAATATTTTATATTAATTTTTTATAAAGATAATAAGATAAAAAACAATAAAAATATAAAATGTTAACGTGGCTTAACCGTAGCCGCACAAATACGAAGGGATGAGAATGGCATCCAAACAAAAGGGCAAACAATTTGCCTCCCCCTCTCGCACATATTAGTCCACGTCAATGACCCGGCCGTTTATTACTGAGAAATTTTTAGTTGTGACGAGAACACAAGTTGTACATTACATGTTTTAATAGGAATTGTGGAAAATTTTATTTTTTAAGTTATTAACTTTTTAGCACACATATCCCACCATTTATTTAATGACATGTGGTGTACCATCCCGTGTACTGGTCACATTGAAAAATCTCTCGTTTATTACTATGGTGGGGCCCAGACGGGGAGGGGAGGGGCTTTAACTTTCTGTTACTGGAAAGGAATCATCTCCAGATCTTTTTTACCAAATTATTTCAATCAATTAATCCAGACTTTTGAAATTTAATCTAACGATTAAAATTATTATAACTTTTAAAGTGAATACTTATTTTTAATCGTTTGATCAAATTTCAAAAATCCAAATTAGTTGATGGAAGGAATCCGGAGATGAGCCATTTCCTGTTACGTCAAGGTTCAATCTTTACCGTTCCACGTCGAAGTCCATGTGACGTCACCGTCATTTACTACGATGACCATCCGATCACTCCCCCCATGTGACCGGCAAATATCCAGTACTTCCGAGCTGCCGTATTCTCTTTTCGTATTAAACGATCCCACGCGCTTGCTTACCTCGTGCACGAAAGCCTTCCAATCATTCATAAATTTTCACTCGAGCATTATTGGTTTATGTTCAAGCTATGTCTCAATTGTATCTCTTTCAAGCCCAACTCAACAAGAAATTTTTCATTGTGATTGGAACACGAGTGTTACACAACGTATTTTATATAAGTGATGTAAAATTTTAATATTTAAGTTTTTAACTTTTTAATACACATATTTCACCATTTGTATAGTGACAGGTACTGTACCACCTCATGTTCTAGTCACACTAAAATTATCTATTAGTTGTCGACTCATATTTCAACAGACACGGTGTCAAAGCTCTCGGCCTCTCCCCCAATTTAAGAGCTTACAGTTTGCTATCCATCCAATAAGGTTGTTTCGTACCCCTTGGCTATCAATAAAAGAAAACAAATGTAAGAATATCATGATCAATCATGGCAAGTATAACAAAACAATGTCAAAATGCTTCATCACTAAGGTACCTTATGTAGAACTAGTCTTGAAGAATGAACCTAACAAACATTCTTAAATGACTTAATTCATTAAGTGACGGGATTTAATAAGTTACGATTTCAGTTGACACTTATCACCATCAGCAATAAAACGTTACATTTATTATCTAGATTATGAGCCTACACTACTGTGAGCAAATGCCAAGTAATAAATTAGGTTATGATGATAAGTTTGTTGTTCGATTTTGACATTATAATCCAAAGTTTCTTCTCTAGAAAGGAGTAGGATTCTCTCCCCTCATTTTTTCTCTCCCCTTCCCTTCTCTCATATTTGAATGATCACGGTTAAATCATGTCAACATCTTATATGAATTTTTTTATACAAAGAGAAAGACAAAATAAAAAAATGTGAAAGGAGAAAATGGAAGGGAATATGAAGAGTAGAAGAGAAAATCATAGTCCTTCTAGAAAACCAATTCTTAAACTATGAAGGGAAAATTAAGACTTGACAAATTAGTAGCATATATGAGCGCGTGGGAGTTACAATGTTCACAGCCTTCGATCCCAAAAAACAAAAAAACAAAAAAACACAGTACTTTGTGACGTAAGCAACCACACCTCCTCCCCCTTCTCTCCTTTCTATATTTATACACACCTCCCCCACCCCCATTCTCTCTCACACCCACCACTTATTTCCTTTTTGCCCCCGTTGACGTCATTTCCCCACCACCTATCTCCGTTTCTCCCTCAATTCACCACCACGCAACTCCTCTGGCTTTCCCGGCGATGCAAGGCCTACGGCGTTGCTCCAACGACGTCGTCCACCTCGGCCTCTCACCCGTCCCGACATCGCCCTCCCCACCCGCTCCCACAAACAAGTCTTCCTCAACTCTCTCCATCGACGTCGCCGAGTCCGCCGAGACCCGCATCCGCCGCCTCATCTCCGAGCACCCGGTCATCATATTCAGCAAAAGCTCCTGCTACATGTGTCACGTCATGAAGAAGCTCCTCGCCGCCATTGGCGTCCACCCCACCGTCATCGAATTGGACAATCACGAGATCGCTGCTCTCCCCTACGACGACCAACAACAACAACAGTCTTGCAATACTCCGCCCGCCGTTTTCATCGGCGGCACTTGTGTCGGCGGCCTCGAGTCCCTCGTCGCCCTCCACCTCAGCGGCCACCTCGTCCCTAAACTCGTCCAAGTCGGTGCCCTCCGCGTATGACTCTTCCCAGTACATAAAAAAAATTTAAAATCTCCATCTCTATCAATCTCTATTTTATTATTATTCTCATTAATATTTTTCCTCAATTAGGAACAACAGGGATCCTGTTTCCAAGATTTATAGTAAAATGAAAAACGGGACGACGTTGTGACGATATTGGTCCACTTATTTTACAAGTTTAAAGTACATAATTAATTTCAAATACCGTCACAATATCATCCGTCGTCGGAAGGAAGTCCTGGGTTTCAACGTTGTACACGGGAAGGTCTTTGCTGAATTACGTACATCGATCGCTTCTGATCAAACGTCCAACGACTTCGATCTAGATTCTCAAAACAGTCTCTCTCTGTCTCCAGTCAGTGTACGGGTCCCACAGTGTGTGGTCATTGATGATAGATTAGCAGATATTAGTGGAGCATCGGGACCGTCCGATGTGTGGACTTCCTCTTAGGTATGTAGCTCTCTTTCTCTCTCTAGCTCTCTGAAGTCCTGGGTTTCTGGCAATGGGATGTGATTGTATATTTTTGTCGTTTTTATTATTAAAGATTGTAAAGTTGTCGTTTTTTTTACTTTAGATAAAAAAAAGTTTGATTAATTGTCGTTAATTTAGGATATAAATGGTTAAAACGATGAGTGTATTATATTATTTGTGGGTCCACACTTGTAATTATTGAGCAATCAAGGCCGTTAAATGTAGTATATTCTTTTGTTCCCAAGTGAAAAAGTTTGTTCTAGACGACTGGTCGTAGGAGTAGTAGTTGTTTTGGGGCATCAATGTCATGATATTAGTTAACCAAAAAAGTTTTATACACTTGTTAAGTGTGACGATATATATGCTCTCGTGAGAGATTTTTCAAGGTTGACCGACGACAAAATACATTAAATGTAATAATACAATTAGTTAAAATTTAAAAAAAAAAAAAAATCTAACTAATTGTATTATGATATTTAGTGTATCGGATCATATTTTTATCACATTGAAAAATTTCTTTGTCCCAGCAATCAGTATTTTAAAATTATAATTTTACAAAAGTTTATGTGCTTTTTTCCAAGTAATAGGATGGTTACTGAAAATTCACGTAAATTATGATAAAGAGATTCGAACTCAAGTAAAAGGATGGTTACATAAGGTAGAACATTGTTCTTGCTGAGACTAAACTCACATATACTTACGGAAGTTAATGTCAATTTTGACAAAATAAGTAAAAGAAATAGCTGAAAACTAATGAAAATGTCTTGAAAACTTTGAGTTTTAACGAAAAAACAAAAAATGTGTTGTAGATGAATAGTATCAAGATTGACTTTTTAAAGTAAAAATATAGTTTTTCATTAAAATAAACAGTACTATAAGTTTTTCGTTAAAATTCTCTTAATTAATGTTATAGTTTAATTTTTTCGCTCTCGTATATCGTCCGTATCACAAAGAAAACAGAAGAAGACAGGTACATTCACCTAAAATCTAAGGCAAGGACAAATGAGAATTTGGCACACCATGCATGAGACAGGATTCAATTTGGTGGTGTCGTATGGCGTGGTTGCTTCTTCAACCACTCGACAACCCATTTCACCATCATTGCACATCATGACAATTACCTATTTACTTCAATCACCATTTTTAACATTATGGTACCAACCCAATTTCTTGGAAGCATTATAAGAGATTAAGATGAGCGAACTCGTCGATCTAGCAGCTCCATCTGTAATCTGATACAATGAAAATACGCATTGTTAGCAAAATTGTTAGTTTGTGTATTGCTGAATTAGCACACAATGAGATTAAATTATAATGCGTATTCTCAAATTATTTCATTTTCAATTAGAATTCTCTAAAGCGAAACGATAAAGATCATAAAAATACATACGATTTGGACAAAATGACATTTTATCTCTCCTTACGAGGCAAAGAGAAAGACTTTTACACTACAAAAATATTACTGTAATAATATTTCAAATCAACCATACATTTGTCATATTAAAACGAAGACAAAACCTGATCAATTTATGTACTACTTCATTAGCCATTATTAACATTTTGATGATGCACCAACACATGCTTTTAATCATTAAAAAACACGTCAACACGAGAAAATATTACCAAAAAGTGCGCGTGATTAGCAATGTTGGCTTCAAATCTTCTACAAACTTTTGTGCCAAAAAAGTACCAGCTTCTAATGTTATGACATGCGGACACTTACGCAACAACCACACAATACCAAAATACATAGGAATGTGATATCCATACATCTTATTTTACTTTTTACACACCTCTTGTTAATTTTTATTCGTTGATTTCTTTCAATTCATCCGATGCGATGATCAAAAATTAAAAAAAAAATGTGAAAAATAAAATAGTATACGTAAATATCACGTCGAATACTTACGTAGAATAATAATCCAATTTGATGATATGTTCATGGTTGCCAATTAAGGAAAAAATTATGATATGTTGAATGGTGATAATTAAGGGTTAGAAACACAACTCCACGTCACATCAACCCATGTGGGACCCAAGTTTTTCCTTTGTCTTTGGAAAAGACAAGGTGGCTAGTGACTGTGATGAGAGCAAAACCATTAGCTGCCACACAACCCACAGTTGCCACAGTCCAAGAGTGCGTGTCCACCTTTAATCCTGCTTTTAATCTTTTGATATTACGTGGCAGACATGCAGTGCGTTTGATTGACTCCATTGGCATGGTGGACCCCCCCTCCCCCTCCCACCACCACCACCACCTAAAATCTTTTTTTACAACAACTTTCCATGGCAGTTTGGCAGTGCGTTTGATTTCTTCTATTTCTTTATTATGCTAAAAAAATTTCATTAGGTCTTTTATGATTACAACAACTTTCACACTAATATAATTGACGATAATTTGTTACAAACTTTAAAAATATAATTTCCTACTACTTATATAAATGCACATGATGTACATTATGTGTTCCGATCACAAAGAAATATTTATTTTGCCCCATCAACAAGGCCTAGTGCCTTTTTATTTCTTGGTTTTAAAAATATGAAATATATTAATTAATTCTAACACAAGTTAAAGGTGCAAAATATCAAAAGAAACAGAAAATCTGTTTTAAGAGGCCCACTGCTTAGACCCGGCTTCTATGTCCCCCACTTCCCATACACTTCAATCTCCTCTTATTTGTACGATCACGGTTAAGTCACGTCAACATATTACATTACTATTGTTTTTTATCTTATTATCTCTATAAAAAAATCAATATAAAATGTTGACGTGGCTTAATCGTGACCGCACAAAATAGGAGAGGATGAGTGTATGGGGAGTGAGAGGGCAGAGAAGCCGGATCCCACTGCTTAGGCTTCACACTGTGTAGTCACAGGTAAAGCCTCCCCCAGATTGTTTAGTGAGTGGTGGTGACGCCAGCATCAGGACACTACAGCAAGTGAGATTATCTACTAATTAATTTATCAGAGCTTTCCATCTGATTCATTTAGCATCAAAACTAAGGAAGTTCACCTGTAAAGAAGAAAACAATTGTAAGGGAATCACAAGATGTAGAGTATATGCTGATTGTCTTTATGTACAAAAACAACCAAACATTATTCTACTAAGTGAAGTCGAATCTTAAAACGCTGATGCGCTCGGTTTTGGGTCAATCTTTTGTTAGCTCAATTGTCTTTATGTGATTAGCAATAAAAATGAAGGCAGCACGTAGAAAAGTTTGATACTATCAAACCATTGAATTTAGTTTTTGCCAACATTCACCGCATGTTACAAAAAAATCAGTGAATAAATTGCCAGAGCCTCAAAAAGCTTTAGGTGGCAAAGATGAATGTCATCGCTGCGTGTTACTAAATTACAATGTCGAACCCATCTGCACTTTACAAAACATTTCCTGCTGTAATTCCCATTTTTCTGTCGTTCTAGTCCTAAATCTCTAATCTTTTGTTAAGATAAGGCGACGGGGAATGATTTCGTGCTATAATCCACCCCAATTCATGAACTTCTTGACCTCGTCGTACAAAACCAAGATGGCAGCTGCGCCGGTACTCCGAAACACGTTTGAAACTGCACCGCGATAAAATGAAACCACCCCTTCTCTCCTATATATCTGCCTCCAGCAGTCCAATGTGTTATCGTACATCCGCTGTTCCAATCCAGACTGCATCATCATCCGCCTCCGAACTGTATCAAGTGGATACGACAGCAACCCAGCAGAAGTTGTGACTGCCTGAGCCACTACCCAACGCTGCCACAGTGGCAAATCACGTTTAGAGTCTTCTGACAAAATTTCCTTCATTGTATCAAAACCTCCAAAGTATAGCCCCCGGTGAATGATCATTCCCTGTAAAGAAGCTGGAAGCCCTCTGTAAATCCCTTTAATCCCGTCCTTTTGGCGAATGGTAGACAAGAAATGGTATATGCCTTGAAATTGACGGACTTCCGTTCTTCCAATGTCAGCAGCCAGGCGGGTATGTGCAATATCAAGTGGGTATATTATTATCAATGTTGTACAGCCAGCAGCAGCTCCAGCAATGAAATTGGCGGACGGACCAGCCAAAAAATGACCATCTTGAGAGTGTCCAGTTCTTAACAGGTTCCTATAAAGATCCTGTTAAAGAAATTAATTTATAAGGATAATGCGCTAAATGATATGATTATGAAATCTTCATCTACCATTAAGAACTATTCCATCAACCGCCATAGCTAAAAACAACTAAATCGGCAGACCTCAACTGTGCTGTGTTAAAATCAAAATGGTATTAGGAGCTTTATTCATCAATTTAGAAATAAATGAACTCATTTAAATGAAAATTTGAATTACTTTGAACATGTAGGTACTGACTAACTAATCCAAAGATAACCACATCTTCTATATCAACTGATGCTACTTAGATACTATCTGATTAGGGTTAATGCTTATCTAAGTAACTCTCCTAATCAGTTTTGTCAGTAATTTCTGCTCTCCGAGTTTTAGATATGACAATAATATTACATAGGAGTTTGGACAGATACTATGCCACTGTGGATGCAAGAAATCCAGACGGATGGGTTTAGTGTTGTTGAATTTCTAAACTTCATGATCCCCTATGGTTACGTTTCAAACATACTTTTTCTTTTCTAATTTCCCTATTCAGGCTAAACAAGAAAAGGTACCCTCCCGCCCAAGATCACAGTACTTACGGTGACGGAAGTTCAGATCACTCCCTTAGGAAAGTTTGCTTGAATTCATTACTGCATCAAAGAGAATGCCACATTTTTATGCTTTCGACTATAAGTCTTGGTTAGTGTTCACAATGCTTTCCAGACACTTGCAAGAACTGACTGTTTAGTCAATGACATGATAAACTTCTAACATTTCTAGAAAGGAAACTTTCCTCTTGCAAAAGAACAAAACCCTCTTCCTTCGGAGCATCCATGCTTAGTGAACCAAATCCCTCGTCTACACTCTGCTTAGTCTGTACCAGATATCTCCAAATATTATCACGTAAAAACAATTGAAAACCACGGGGTGATCATTGGACCATACAAAACGTCCCTTAGTAATGGTGGAATGCAGATTGGGTACAAATTTGTAACAGTCAATGAATCAAGTTCTCCCCTTTTCTCTCTCCACTAAAAAGTTCTACCTAACAGCTAGCAACCGAGTACGCGAAGGACACACTGCAAGAAGTTGAATTCTTTGAGGAAAAAACGTACATTGGAATCCTTCGCTTCCTAACAAGCTCAATCACTCAACTAATGAACTTCCTAAATAAAATCTT